ACTCACCTTCCAATATGTTTGTGCACTCGTGGCAAGTCTTTCCCATAACCCTGATCCTCAGTTGAAATGCTCATGATGGCAAGTTTGTGTCACCTTGGCTCACAGCCATATTTTCCTCCCGTGACGCCATGTTTACATCGCCGGACCCTAAAGCCAAACTTTTTCATGATGTGATGGTCACCTCATTCAGATTGTAGGGTTTAACCCATTGTTGCATGGGAAAATGAACAAAAAATGGGGAAAATGCTGTATTCAATTTTTATATATTTGTGAAATATCTCTGTACATAGATGGCTCTGCTAGTCCTGATTTCACCTTTCCTTGAATTGGCGGGAAAAAAACATTTTCTTACTAGTGCTATAAATATAGATAGTGTTATTTTTAACAGCAAATTAGGATAATGTTAGATATTTTCGTAAATAGATGAAAAGGGTGAATGGGCGAGACAGGCAGTACTCATAATTGGCTCACTGGTGACTTAGTACAAGTGTAACCATCTGTGTAAAAACAATCAAACAAGGCGACTCACAATGGGCATGGCATATGTGTACATGCCATCCCCGGCGGCCATGAGTTAAGGTTCCATTAGGGCTCATTAATCCAATGCTGACAGGCATGACGTGTACGCACGTACTATGCCCACTGTGAGTACTTGTGAGATTGTTTTTACACATAGATGGCTACACTTGTACTAAGTCACCAATGAGCCAGTTACGAATACTGCCTATAAACATTATAGTAATTATAAAGTTTATTATAAAAATAACACCATCAATATTCATAGCACTAGTAAAAAAAAAATTCCCGCCAATTCAAATCACGTAAGGTCACAAGTTCTACTAATTGACTCCTTTGTGGCTAAGCACTAGCAGAGTCATCTATGTGCAGAGACATTTCACAAAAATATAGAAAATGAGCACAGCATTTTCCCCATTTTTTATTCATTTTTCCCAGTGACATTGGGTTAAGTCATTATTCCCCAACTGTTGATGAATAGGCATAAAAGCATTGGCATTACTGTAGCAGTTTGCCTCTGTCAAGATTCCCAAATGCCATAAGATTGGTAACCATTCTCTTCTGACCTGCTTACATTAACTTAATTGTAAAGCTTAGTTTGGAAAATTAAGCTGCTTATTACTAACCAACAAATTTAGATGTAAATATATGTGTGTGTGTGTGTGTGTCTGTGTCTGTGTCTGTGTGTATGTGTGTTTATTTATGTATCATAAAGTATGAATTTGATTTGATATTACATCTGTCTCATGACAGGATTTGGGATTTTAGAATGCGGTTTCATGCATCCTTGAGCCTAACCCTTTTATATAGCATGGGCTTTGTTGAAATAGTGACAGTCTTAGCTCAGGTGGGATATAGTTAGCATTACATGTACCCCTTTTTTATTATTTATAGATTCTTGAAATTTATCTTATTTTTTAACCCAATTAATGCAGGTGACAAGACTACAATACCATGCCCAGTGTAATAAAAGTCCATCTATTGTCTTTACATTATAAATGACTCTACAAGGCTTAGTTACCAAGGAGTCAGTTATTAGTCTTACCTATCCCACCTCTTTAGCCATTTCTTTGATTTTTTAACAGCTTCATTTCAGTTATTTTATTGTCTTTTATGTTATTAATATTTTGATAAGAATCACAATATCAGTAAGAATAAAAACATCATTATTGATATTATTTGAGAGAGAAAAAACATTTTCCCACAAATTCAAGGAATGAGGAAATCATTTGCGGTCACGAGGGCCTACTAATAGACTCCTTGGTGGCTGAGCACACATGGAGCCATCTATATGTAAGAAAATTCACAAAAATCTACAGGGGATAGTACATAAACCTGCAGGCATTAGGTTAAATTGCACAAGCTTAGATACATGGCAGTTATACTGGGAGATATCTAGATATAAACTGATGAGAACAAAACAGTATGTATTTACAATAAGCAGTTCATGTTCTTTGTATCAATCCATTGACAAAAACTATCCAAAGGTTAAAGGAAGCTAGCCATTAAAAAGTAAGCTCTTTGATGGTCTCTAGAATTGACCTATTGACCTAATATACAGGAATATGTTACAACCTTGATATTGTTTGATTTTATTTTATCAGTATCTTTTCTGCTTTAGCAGGCACATACCTGTGACCTGATATACGTTATCCTTCTTACTTGTTTGTGTTTTTGTGGTAGATAGTCCTTAAAACAGGTAGACTTCTCCCCAAACATCTATCAACTAGGCTCAAAGAAACCCTAAGTGGGGTAAACACAATGTTGGAAGTTTCCTTGCATTCATGTTTTTGATCAAAGCTGCCTTGTTTTTTGTAATGTAAACTTCATATTCATTTTGTTATCAAAGAATTCTTACTTATGCCCAACCTTTAATGTGCCATCTATATATTGAACAGTGATGATAAAAGCTTAGGGATATTTATTGGGAAATTTTATAAAATATAACATAATTTTGTTTTGAGATCTGCAAGGAATGCTGTCT